AAATTTATTATTTTTTGAACACGTGGCAACTCTCTTAAATAAAGTTCTGTAATAAAGGATTTTAAATCCCTTACCGTTTAATAATTACTTAATTTATTAAATAATTTTTATTTAACCTTTTAAACTGGGGCAATCCTCAAACAAATCAAAAATATTCTAAATTTTCAAACTAAATATTTCTAAAACTCTTTCATTTGATATTCAATTTTAATATTTCATACAACCTGAGTATAAATAATTTAATTTGACTTCTCAAATATGTGGCAACCCTCCTTAAATTATTTCCAAACTACTACCTTCTTAAACCTCTTTTGTCTGACACCAAGATCGTGATACCTTATTCACTTACGAAATTCATTTAATTAAAATTTGATTATATTTTTTAAACATGTGGCAACCCTTCTACTCGTAGTTAAGATATAAAGCCTTTTCAAAACCATTTTGGTTGATATCCACAATAGTAACAATTGATTTAACTTTATAAATAAACAATTGATTTAACTTTTTAAATAATTTGAGCTTAATTTCTTAACTGGTGGCAAACTCTTTTCATGGTAAAACCTTATCGAACATCCTCACCTTAAGCCCTTTAATTTGACACCTCACTTTTGAAAATCGAATTTAATATCAAATAACTTTAGTGTAATTATTTAACAGATGGCATATTTTTTCGAAAAAGTAAAACCCTATTGCACATCTACAGCCCAAGCCCTTTAATTTGACCTCTCGTTTTTGAAAATCGAATTGTGAATTATGCACATATATAGATGATTCGAATAGGTCTTTATTATTTACAAGTCTATTCTGCGCTGGTAATTAAAAGTTTGTAACCGGTAAATAAAGTGCCTGTCGATTTTTAAACCCTTTTCGCATCTCTCTCATAAGCTGATAACAAATTATTGCTCCGTGAAATATGCAATGCAAGCATTTGCACAATTCTTCATAGCTGAATTGCTGAATATTTATTTTATAAAGCACTTCCATTCACCCACATGGTACTCATTCGTGGATCGGTAGCACGTTTTTTGAGAGTTTTGATAATAATATCGGGGACAGATATCTGGTATGTCTTCGTACCATTTCCAAAATACCATATGTCTGTCACCAAATATTATAATATTCTTCAAAATACTAGGTAACTCATCATAGGTTGCATCGAAGCAAAACATCGATATTTTCGACGCCTCGATGTTTTTTCGACATCCCTAGTTGTTCTTCAGAAACATATGATTTGACACTGAAATACTAAGTTAATGTCCACAATAAATTTACCAGAATGCAAATACCAGATGTCAGTCCCCGGTATAAAACTAATTTTTGCATATGGAGAGTCGCAACTTTACACTGAAAGAGCCAAATGCTACCCGCGAGCGGCAGGTTGCCGACCTCTGCTATAGGGGCATGCTGGTTTAAACTCATGTTAACTGAGCACAGTAACAGGTCTATTCTGCGTAATAATTCTGTAATAAAAAGTTTGTAACCGGTAAATAAAGTTCCTGTCAATTTTTAAACCCTTTTCGCATTCTGTATACTCTTGTAACCGGTAAATTATTGCCCCGTGAAATATGCAATGCCGGGATTTGCACAATTCTTCATAGCTGAATATTTTAACTGCATTACCAACGTACCTAGAATCGCGGTGACAAGAACTGGTAACATTTTTTGGTAATACAATTTTCCGGTTACAAAATCTTCGGTAACGTGCAGAATAGACCTGTAAATATGAAAATCCATAGATTAACCATTGTCAGTAATCGACTACGCACTGTGAGTTCGGCCCTCGATTTAACCATTTGAACAGTAACTAACTGCGGTTCAGAGATACTCATGAACCAGTTATTGTTACAGTAAAATTTTTTTTCTAACAGGTCTATTCTGCGCTAGTAATAAAAAGTTTGTAACCGGTAAATAAAGTTCCTGTAAATTTTTAAACCCTTTTCGCATTCTGTGTACTCTTGTATCCGATAAATTTTGTTACCATCTCATAAGCTGGTAACAAAGTATTGCCCGTGAAATATGCAATGCCGGGATTTGCACAATTCTTCATAGCTGAATTGTTGAATATTTTAACTGCATTACCAACGTACCTAGAATCGCGGTGACAAGAACTGGTAACATTTTTTGGTAATAAAATTTTCCGGTTACAAAATCTTCGGTAACGTGCAGAATAGACCTGTAAATGGCTTAAACCATTGAACCGAACTGCTTCGATTTTTGGAGCGGTTTGCAGCTCTGATCAAAATATAATTTTTACTGTAAAACGGACTAAGCAATCTTTCACTCTAAGCTAGCGATATTGCTCGTTTACTGAAACAACGTCACACAGTGTAACGAGTGCGACCATAAATTGTAAAAATGAAATGAGTAAACACGACCCTAATGTTAAATGTGGCTTATGCAAAAAGTCTAATGCGGGTGACAAACGGGCTCGCTTATTTGCATTAACTCATGCATTTCCCTTTTTCAAATGCGCATAAGCAGTGGAATAAAGGCACAAAATTTTTGGAAATTAACTCGGATCAGGGGAATTTTCGATGAAAACACTGGTGAAAACGGTCAGCTGTTGTCTTTTGTACAAGTATGCAAACAAAGCAACCGAGTTTGGCGTCCGCGGTAGCCGAATAGTGAGGGTTGCGTGCTACAAGTCCGTAGGCGCCAAGTTCGATCCTCGGTTGGAGCGATTGCCAACGATTTTTTTTTTTATATTTATTTTATTTTTTTAATTTTGTTTGATTTATATATTAAATTTTACTTTCTTTTATTTTGTATCACATTTTTAATTTACTATTAAGTAAATTAAATTTGTAGAGTTTAATTTTATTAAAAAAAGTCAACAAAACTGAAAGCACGTTAAAAATGTATAGAACTTCATAATAGAAAGAATAAAATGAATAAAAAATAAATAAGTGAAAATTCTCCTGGCCGTGGGACTCGAACCAACTGCCTTGCGGCTCGTTAATCCCATTACTGCCGTCTTTCCAAACACAATTTTAATCAGATCAACTGTGCCGTTAATCCAGATCAACGCTGCCGCCTGTCTATGCTTTAAAATTGCTAAAAAGACATTTGCGAGATTGAAGAACCTAAAACACAACTAATTCTGAGGAATTTTGCTCACTGGGCGTCAAACGAATGAGGGTTGGAGTAGATGCACTCTCCCAGGCGTGCCAGCGTTTAATTTTTAGCGATGCGGCCAGAAAACAAGCGAGGCTGTTAAGAAATCAGTCAGCCATTTGAACTAGTGAGCCGAGTCGTCGCCGTTATGGTTAAGGCGAGTGCAACAAACATAGCAGGCAAGGCGGTCCCCATATACCAAGTATGTATGTACTATGTACATACATATCATCGTTTAAAGTACAAAATCGCGTATCGTCATTCTGGAAAACCGCGTAACTGATATTGGCTGCCAAAAATTGTATTTGCTCACACAAGCTCTTGGCTCAATCCTTATCCATTCGTCCTGAAATATACTAGCCAGAAATGCGATTGTTTTATAAAAAGGAGCACCATTTTGAAATATGACTCACATACGCGGTTTTGCATTTTGTTGATACGCGCTTTTGTACTTTAAACGACGATATGTATGTGTGTATGTGGAAAATTATCATCAGTAAAATGGAACAACGAGATAGTCGAGCCGCTGTAAGACGAAGACCATATCAGCGAACTCAAAGAAATTGTAAGCAGGCAACACAAAAGCGATTTTGAGCCGAGTTCTTTTGTTAGTGCTAAATATTTTTCGCGCTGTTGTTGTTGATAGGACTGTATACATACGTGTGTGTGCGGTTGTTAGAATCCGTGCGATGTCGGCTGATGTACGCTGAGCCGCTCCGGTATTTTTCTTTGCTATTTGTAGTACAAGTTGAGTACCATTCGAGATGTCAACCCGATTTTTCTGTTCTCATACTTTAGTAATTGCTGCGTATTTCTCTCTTTCGTTTGCAAATAAAGCCAAAGAATATCGAAGCCGACGTTAGCTGCGTTCAGCTAGAAACGCCAGTTTGGCCTGCAAGTTCGTATCAAAACAAGGGGAACGCAAAAACATCGCCAGCCAACAACAGTTACAATACCATATATATGTACGATATGTACATATTGTACATACATACATACATACATCTATACATATGCAGATATATATCAATCCACTTTAACAGCCAAATTGAAATCTACTTACACATCTGAGGGACTTTTCTGTCGTCACCATCAACGATTTTCGTCTTATTAACACACCCATGCATATGGACATACAAACATAAGTTCAGTGAGTGATCGTTTATGGCTGACTAGCTGGCTGGTTCATCCGTTTGCCCTCTCTTTCTACTCCTTCCTTTTCGCTATTGCTATTGTGGGCATTTCGTATTGTGCGGCTTGGGATCGACTGCTGCGTCGGCTTGAAGCGCGATTTGTTGTTATTGTAATGGCGGTGGCCGCGCTCAGCCCTAGCCGACAGCGGTTTTCTTTCCATATATCGCATGCATTTGGCTAGCGCTCTGCTCGTCGCGTTGATTTTGGCTTTGGCGCTGCTGCCTTGTTTTTGTGCTCAACTCGGCTTGGGCTCGGGTGGTTGGTTGGTTGAGTGGTGTTTTGCTGGATTTTATTAGTTGGTTTTTAAACTTGGTCGTGAGAGGGTAGTAAAAAGTGAAAATCGGCAGCAATAGACTACTCAGAACTTGTAAAGAAAATCAGGAACTTTAAAATAATAGAACTGAAGAGGGGAGAAGTGAGTGAGTGTACGATTTTGCAGCAGCGATACTGGGTTATTAAGGGGAGGCATGTCTGAAACCTATTGACAGTGCATAGACCTGTAGTGGTGCAGTGAGTCTTTGGGACTTCAGTGAATTAGTAGTAGAGTGGATACGAGCAAAACATGACATAAACTGAGATTTACTACTTCAGTAAATTAACGACAAAAGTAAAGCGCAAACTTAATAATAAATACCGTTGTGCGAAAGCTCGCTAAAAATAACTGTGAATATCTAAGTAAANGCGAGCAAAACATGACATAAACTGAGATTTACTACTTCAGTAAATTAACGACAAAAGTAAAGCGCAAACTTAATAATACATACCGTTGTGCGAAAGCTCGCTAAAAATAACTGTGAATATCTAAGTAAAGATTTTGTGAATGGACGCGCTCAGTGCCAGCCTCGCTCCTGCCAGCACATCTGATACCATCACAGCCAACAGCACAACGAGAACAACAACACCTAAAAAGTCGAACGTTTCCACTGCCACTTCTTCGCCATTATCATTCCGATCGTCACCAGTTTCCTCCCCGCGCACCTTGCTGGAAGCAGCTGCAATAGCAACAACCATTGGGCCTCCGTCACCCACGCACTCCTCACGCGCTTCGTCGTGTTCTGCGCATTCCAGATTGCGCGTAGCAACCCCTGAATCGGATACACCTGTTGGTGAAATGAGTGTGAGCGGTGGAAGTCAACTGGCTGCAGCGTTGGACATGAAGACTAGAGCTTCAGCCACCTCCGCTGCTGCCGCCGCCGCCGTGGAGCTATTGCATGCCGGCACGCCATCATCTCATACGCAGTCGCAGAAAATAAAAAAATGTGCGTTTAAAAATCGGTATAATGAGATAGTAGATGTAAATATGAAATTTTCGAATTTCACTTGCCGAAGGGCGGAAACGTTTGAATGTGAAGTTGCTACAAGTAACAACCACAATACCAAAAGCTTTCAGACTGCAATAGTAGATATCAATAGAGATAATGGCTTCGAGAGCCACACATCCAGTCCAGTAATAACAACTACAATGGCTTGCCCGAAATTGCTTCGAAGTTGCAGAAGTAGAGGTAGTCCTAGGCTACAACAACTTTACCAACTACAACAACGGCAACTGAATTCAATGTCGCTGCAACGCCATCAGAAGCAGCTGCAGCGGCAGCAACAACATTCAAAACGTTACCGACAACAACCCAAATCAAAATATTTAGATACGAAATTTAGATTCGAACAAGAACGCAAATTTGCTGAAGCTGAACAGTTGCAACAACAGCAACAACAACTATATGCATCGACTAAAGAAAATTTTTTACTTACACTCGATTTACTTGCAGTGGTCCGCCGAAACGCCTCCGACAAACTTCGCCTCATCCAAATGGTTCACGACAATCCAATACTGTGGGACTCGCGCCTGCCAAATTTCAAGGGCGCCGAAGAAGAGAAGAATCGTGCCTGGGAAATGATTGGCAAAGAGTTCAATGCGCCGGGGCGGCGTGTGGCGCGCGCCTTCAAATCGCTGCGGGAATCGTATCGGCGCGAATTGGCGCATGTCAAATTGATGGGAAACGGATTCAAACCGAAGTGGAGTCTCTACGAAGCAATGGATTTTTTGCGAGATGTTATCAGAGAGAGAAAGTGAGTACCATAATGTTAGAATAGTTAGGGCATTCACAAGGTGTCATAAAAGTCATATTGTCATAGAGGCATAAATTTCAAACTGTGTTATGGTTGCTGTGAATCACTCAAGAATCTTTTTAACCTACATACATACGTACATATCGCACACCGTCTTCAACAGGGGTACAACTCAAAATTACGCCTTTGTCAGATAATGCGAAAAACTATAGTTCTGTTCGCTATGCAAATGCTAGTAAGAATTAGCCAGTAACAAAATTCAGAGAATATGGTATCTTACTCTCCCAAAGAGAAAACTTACTAAGTTTTGCGCGAACATAAATTAGCAAACATTTGCAAGCTTCACTGCCAGCTGGCGTCCACGGTTGCNTAGTAAGAATTAGCCAGTAACAAAATTCAGAGAATATGGTATCTTACTCTCCCAAAGAGAAAACTTACTAAGTTTTGCGCNCAGTAAGAATTAGCCAGTAACAAAGAATATGGTATCTTACTCTCCCAAAGAGAAAACTTACTAAGTTTTGCGCGAACATAAATTAGCAAACATTTGCAAGCTTCACTGCCAGCTGGCGTCCACGGTTGCATTTCGAGCATATTTATTAATTTTTTTTTAATAATTCAGGTGAAAAACAAAACAGGATATTTCTTCTTATTCTGACTTTCTTCAACATACGCTTTAATTTCTTTGTGGAAGTCGCTGTCGGATTTCCAATATCGACTGTGGTGTCGACTGCGTTCCGATTACGAATACAGCTTTTTTAGCCGAGTACCTTTCANTTTATTAATTTTTTTTTTAATAATTCAGGTGGAAAACAAAACAGGATATTTCTTCTTATTCGGACTTTCTTCAACATACGCTTTAATTTCTTTGTGGAAGTCGCTGTCGGATTTCCAATATCGACTGCGTTCCGATTACGAATACAGCTTTTTTAGCCGAGTACCTTTCAAATTTTTGGTATTAATTACATCAATTGAATAAAGAAATATTTACATACTTCTTTCATTAGTAAAGGCTGGTATGCAGCTCTCAAGAAAACGGTCAAGAAAAAAATTCCCATTATTTCGTGTGTGTGCCCAAAGAATTTTGACAACTTATACTTCACTAGTCTGTTGTCTCGCTCTTTCCTCAAGAAATATTTCTGTTGCAAGTATGGGTTGCCTTGTGCTCTTTTTTCACAAAAAACTTTAGAAAACCGTAGTAGAAAGAATAGCAAATTTCTTAAGAACTGCGTACTGTCTGCAGGAAATTTGACTCAAGAAAATTTCTTAGCCATTTCTTGTACGTCATATGGAGCTTTTGCTTTTCTTGGGAGCTGCATACAGGCCTTAAATCGCAACAAGATTGTTAATTTTTAAATTTAACGAACTTGTTGATTCAAATTAATGTTGACAAAAATGCAACCGTGTGCAACAATCCTGCTTGCAAACTCTTGCTGGCAAAAATTTTCCCAGCACGAATTTGCAACTTCCCCTCGAAATGAAATGTAAAAATTGTGCTCTCTCCTTGCAAGTTTTGCTGGATTTTTGGACAAACGAACACGATTTGATAACAATTGGTACCAACTTGTACAAGTTTTTTGCATAGCGAACACTCTTCATGTGGGCAAAGGTCTCCCTTTACCTTAGGGGTTTTTTTTGTATCAAAAAATAACAAAGATTTGCTCCAGCTTTTGCTGAAAAGTAAACAAAAGCACTGTGTACATTTTTAGCGCATATGTAATTTCAAAAATGCCAATTTTGAGTTGTGCATTTTTTGAAGACGGTGTGCGATATATAAATTTTATGACAATATGACTAGTTATGAAATCTCGCGAATCACCAGCTAAGCATACATACATACATATGTAAATTAGCTGCGTTTCATTCTTGCCTTTTCCAAAAAGGACACTAAAATAAGTAGGTTAAAATGTCTATTTATCCGGATTCATGGGATTTGTGAACAAAACCCATTCAAAATGAGTTTTACAATATACAATTGTGCATATTTATTAATTTGAAATTGAAATTAAATCTATATACATTAGACTGCATCATTCACCATACAAAAAAAATCGGTACTGTTTTTCCACTGGAATTATAAAATCTATTATATTTTAAGACTTGCACCAACACATTTTGGAAAAGGGTTAATATTAACGTGAGCTGGACCGATTTGAAAATACCTGAATAAATTGAGTTTTTCGAATAAAAATAGTTTTTTAAAGTATTTTTTTTAAAGTCACCTCAAATGACAAATCAGTTTGATAAAAATATTAAAAAAGCTTTTTAAATAAACATGTTAAAAAAAACTTCAACGGAATCATAATGAGAGATAACGAGAGTTTTGATGCTGTTTTTTAACTTTTATCCAAGATTGGTTTATAAGAAAAGCTTGAATATCTGAGGCAAATCTATACCGATTTAGACTTGTGGCGTATCATTGGAAATATATTTTCTCAATCTTTTAATTTTTTTTAATAATAAACTCATTCAAGGTATGTAAGAGAAAGGTACGAGGATGAACGAGCATCATTCGAAGTTGAACTAAGATGTTTTGATATTTGTGAAAATTTTATTTTTGAAAAATTGTATTTTTTTATTTTTATGCCAATTTCATCTCATCTGAGCGGATTTTTTTCAAAAAATCTTTTAAGAAACATTTTTTAATCATAAAAAGCTGCATCTTTGGAGGTATTTTCAAATCGGTCCAGCTAACGTAAATCTTAATAATTTTCTAAAATATTTTGGTATAAGTCTTCAAATATAATAAGTTTTGTTATCACGGCGTAAAAACCGAAACTTTTTTGGTGATGCAGTCTAATGTACATATATATATATATACATATGAATAAGGGTTAAGGGGACGCGGCCACAGAGCGCCTATGGTTGAGCTGAGAATTGAACTAACAAAGTAAGACGATAAGAACTAAGTAAACAAGCCTAATGCTTAAGAGCGAAATACACCACACAAGCGGCTTGATAAGCCAAGCGAAATATCCCTTTGCTTTAAGCTATTTGTGTTATGTACGGGGCTGTTTGAAAATTTGACAAGACGTTTGAGGGAAATTTGAACAAAAATCAAAAATTTGACTTTTGATCAAACCGCTTGCGTTGCGTATGGTGTTTGCAACGGAATTTTCACCGAGTGAGGAAGTAGGAAAAAAAAATGGAATAAAATAAAACTTTCTTACATTGTGAACCGGAAGAAAACTAAAGTTCTTTGCTAGGCGAAGTGGAAAAAGTAGGTCTGAAGTATGTTTGACAAGACGCCAGTGTGTATATTTCGCTCTTTAAACATCACACTAAATCACAAAATTACTTATTTTAAACAACACATATCAAATCATTTAATTTCGTTAGAAAGTGAGTTGTATGGGATCAGGCTTCGCATTTGTCAGCCAAAAGTGTAGAAAAGCATAAATAAGGCGACAGAAACATAAAAGAGACTCGATATTTTAACAAGTTTTGGCTAATCTTGTTTTGTTTATTTAATTTTCATTATTTTTTTTATGAAAGTGTACGGCAAAATCTAAAAAAACAGGTAACCTTTGCGTTATTTAGCTTTATTTACATTGTTGTAAACTATATTAAGCTAATTGCTTTTGGATATACTTCATAGACGTATACCTGAAGCCCCAAAAAAATATTTAATCAACTTTTTGCATAACTATTGAGTTATATGTAGATGTTTTAGTTCAAAATAATATTAAAAACAAGTGAATTTTTCAATGTAATTTTTAAGAGGTGAAAATTTAATTACGTCACTACTTTGGAAGCTCGCCATGTACTGGTTTGAAATTAGTACTTATGTATGTGTACACTTCATATGTAGTTGGTAACTAAAATTTGCTTTAAAAAATAACTAAATGGCAAGTAGCGAAAAGTGTGTAACTCTAATTTTCACAATTTTCAAAATTTTCGGTTTATCGCGTATAGTTTTTGAAGCATTTCATAATTTGATACCTTAGCAACAGGTGTGCTTTCAGAATAAACCAACTTTTAAAGATAACATATTCAGCGATCTTGAGCGTAATTTTTATTCCATATTATTTTATTCCACATTTGGAAAATACGTCGAAACGATCTAAATATTTTTGTAACAACTGGTACTTATAACATTCCATATACATGTAAAGTGCTTCAGAAATTTGTTCTAAAGCGATAAAAACCCAGATTTTCTATTTTTAATGATGCTCCGTCTTGTAGTCAGAATATTTCGAGCGTGGTATCAAATCAATTTTTTTTTCGAAAAAAATGTTCCGATAGTTGCTCTTACTTAAATGGAACCTTCTAAATTCAATCGCGTTCTCAGTTTTGCCTGATTGGCTCCACTTTTTGATATAGCGGTACTTGAAACTTAGCATAAATCTCACCTATTTTATAAAAAAAAAATCTCCATTTTGAGGATATTTTACTAAAATTTTGGACACGATTTTATTTTAATATTACCCTCACTATCTCTTAAAATCATCGAAATCGGTTCACTAAAACATCTAGCTCCCATACAGCTGATTGTTCAGTTTGCAGGTAAAAATTTAGTATAGGTTGATTTAACATATGGCACGCATCCAATTTATTATTCAGATATGAACTTAGAGTTATAGCACAAAAACACTTGTCTCAGTTGTATTGGAGCTATATGTGAAAGGGAACTTATTTCGGTAATTTTAAGGAATAATCAAGGTAGTACTAAAAACCGTTATTTGCTAAATTTTAGTAAAATAACTTCAAAACTCAGGCAATTATTTATAAAATAGTTAAAATTTAATCAAATTTTGCACAGTGTAATTTGAACCCAGCTTATTTCTTTGTTTTCTATTTCAGCGATCTAAATGTTTATTCCTCGTCTAACTTTTGAAGCACTTGATGAAAATGAATTACACTTATATTTATCGATTTATTAAGAGATTACGAATAGAATCATATATAAAACATAGGTATGCCCAGAAATTAAACAATTAAAGTTTTTGTTTTGAAAGTGTACCTGTTTTTTAGATTTGCCCGTATACGAGTAAAAAATTTCA